TTCTTTAACGGAAAGTAGCCAGACTGCTCTGCGAGTGAAACCTTGAAAGCTCGCGAGATCAGGATGGTCTCACGAGGCTACCAGATGGCCTGTAGCAATACGGAAATTTCGCTATACTTGAGTGCTGCTTCAGGCTGTGTGACAAGTAAAGTCTCTATCAATCTATAAATGTGATTATCAAAGAGATTAAAAGATTTAAAGGACATAGACATTCATTCGTATTATTGTCAATGGTCTGGTCCTGTTTGTTTAACTTTTCTGTTTGCAGTCCTTTTTGTATTTGCTGCAGATCTATGTATCTGCAGCTCGTTTGCCCCTCTTGGCCCTCATACATGCACCACACTGTACTAAATTAAACTCCAATCTAAATATAAAGCACAATTAAAGACAGCAAATATGCCAAAGTGCTGTACATACAAAGACTTAGACTTATGCAACTTTTATTGTCATTTTGTATACACAGAGAGTGTATACAAAAATTAACTTTCCTTTAGTACAGCTTTTCAGACAGAAAACTAATTCCATAAAGTGCAGCAGTAATCAAATGTAAACAGTGTGGGAGAAAAAACATGGTGCAAAAAACACCACGTTAGAGTAAGAGTAGGTAATAGAGTAAGACAAATAATAATAAAAAAACAAAAAACAAAAGCAAGATATCCAACAGACATATACAACACATTAGATAGAACAGAGACAATCTAGAGGAATGGATTTAAACTAATTGTATTTGGATACCCTAACAATTTGTTGAAATTAAATGTTTTGTTTTAATTAACTTCACTTACTAAGAAAAAGCAGCTGGTGCATATAACAAGCTGGTAATTTGCATTATCTAAACGGAAATGTAAGATAAAACCAAGTGCTGCCTTAACAACCATTTTTAGCACAAAATAAATGTTAAATTAAAGCTTGTATAGAAAATAATAGAGTAAGATCCTGCTGGAAAAATCCGGAATTTAATTAATCGCTTTTATAAATTTCTCAGAAATGAATGTTGCAGGATCTGCATTCATAGAGTGCTACTGAGTGAAGCACATCTATTTTTATCTAGATAAAACTAATCATTTTGGTCCTTTTCTTTCCTTGTGTTCTGCTTCTCTATTTTACTATAGCCTTGTCTCCTCATGCCTCCAATATACTAGCTACCTCTTCTTTGGTCTTTCTTAGAAAAATCCTCAAAAGCCCCAACTGGTCCTGAATGAAGATAGATCTGATTTATAATGCAACAAAACCTCAATATCACCCTTTGTGATACAGGACATTGGTTTCCAACCTTCACAAAGGGACAGTTTACCTTCAAAACATCTGAATCGAATTTGTTTCAGTGCTACTCGAGTTCCACAACCTTATAAAAAAATGAATGTTGATGTGTGTGATAAATATCTACTAAAGTATATTTGTTGTAAACCTCCTTTAGTAAAGAAAGTCCTAAAACATTTGCAAAAAACATTTTTTTGAGACTTTTCTTCTAGTATTTCTGTGAAATTATGTTCAAACGAGTATGCAGTTGTCAACAACTATAATTGATCTAAAAAACATTAAAGATACTTTTGGTTTCATTCTGTTGTGGAAAGGTAAAGCAACTGATTCATGATAAAACAAAAACAGTGAAAACCAGATTTTTTTTATGACAATAATTGTTTTTTAAAACAATTTTTAGCCATATTAGAGGTATTTATGGTGGAGGGTCCAAAGAGTTACTCATTAGCACCATGTTGTGGACTACTTATATCGGGCCTAATTTATTTGTTGTTTTTATAGAGTCAAGCCAAAAGAAATCTTAGATCTTTGAAAGTATTATCAATCTGTGAAGCCTCATCCCAGCAGGACTGCAGCTTGTTATTCAGTGCCAAGTCTAGTTTCCACAGTAGTATAAACTGTTGATATCCCTAGAAAATAATACTCTCTTTTAGTGCTCACTAAATAATGTCTAACAATCTGTGTGAACAAAGAAACCAGCCATAAGGGAGGAATTGGAATACACATTGCAAAAGATTTACTTGAATTACAGCGAGCAGCAGATTTTTTCTCTTTTTTTTTTTAAAGGAGCATATTTCTTTTGTTTCCATTACAGCTTTACTTCTGGCTGCCAGATGAGCCTCATAATTACAATTTGCGGATAGTCAGACAAATTGAAAAACTGCTCAGGCCAATCCAAAACATAAAAAGGGATCATATCATGCTAAGAGCTTCAACATATAAAAATGAAATAAAACAAAGCTTTACACCACCAATGCCTTTTATGGTGGTATATTAAGAGTTCATTTAAATAAATCAGTTTTACCTGCATTTTAATTTGATTTCTTTATGCTTAAATTAGAGATTTATGAGAAAATAAAAGTCAGTCAAACAATGTTGAAAAAGTAAAAAAAAACGTAAAACAAAGGAAAAAAAGAAAGAAGAAGAAGCTCTACCCCATCCAATGCCATAGTAGTAAAAATGTTTGCTTCCTTCAGAGCCAAACACCTTCACCACCATACTGTAGAGATGGAGACCCTCCACCAGCATCCAGGCAAACGCACTCAGGAAGAAGAAGTGAAGCAGGACAGCCATGACCTTACAGGGCAGCTGGAAATAGGACAAAATCAGAACTTTAATGGCCAGAGCATCAACTCTTTGAATGCTTTCTTACTGATAAGTCATATATTTCAACATTTCTCAGGTTCTTAAAAAAAGGTGCTACTAAGTCACTGTAAAATACAGAATAAAACTAAGTATGATCAACACACTGCAAAAACAATGAATTTACTCTTAATTTGAGTAGGTAAATGAGAGAGTTTGTCAATGGAATCAGCATTTTTACTCTTAAAATAAGATAATTAGATAATACACACTTGAAATAAGACAATGCAATTGTTTTTTCATATTTTAAATG